ATTGATACTAATGGGCCCAGTGTGTGCCAAGAAAATGTCCCCCACACCATTACACCTCCACCACCAGCCGGAATTTTCCATTGTCTAATTTTTGTGAGCCTGTGTGAATTGTTGAGTTTCCTGTTCTTGGCTGACAGGAGTGGCATCTGGTGTGGTCTCCTGCTGCTGTAGTCCATCCGCCTCAAGGTTCGACATGTTGTGCGTTCAGAGATGCTCTACTGCATATCTCGGTTGTAACAAATGTTTTTTTGTTACTGTTGCCTTTCTATCAACTGGTTTCAACTGGTTCTATCAGTCTGCTCCGACTTCTAGCATCAACAAGGCATTTGCGCCCACAGAACTGCAGCTCACTGGATTTTTTCCAGACCACCCCTTCTGGCTCCACTAACCATGCCACGTTAAAAGTCACTTAAATCTTATTTCTTTCCCATTCTGAGGCTCAGTTTGAACTGCAGAAGATCACCTTGACCTTGTCTACCTGCCTAAATGAATTGAGTTGCTGCCATGCGACTGGCTGATTAGAAATTTGCATTAACGTGCAGTTGAACAGGTGTACCTAATAAAGTGGCCAGCAAGTTTGTGTGTCTCAAATTCACATGTGAGCTGACGGTGTTTGTTTATTATACAAAGTACTGTATTTTTAATCATATTAGTTTTTTTTTTTTTTTTACCCTTGATGCTGCAACCTATTTAACATAGTTAAAAAAATGTTTAACTGATGTGTGAGCTCATATTTACGTACTATATGCACCATTAAGCTACAAGAAGAAGCTCATAAACCAAACTATAATCATCGGACTCAGCTGTATTGATAAGAGCATACATTAAAGGTAATTATGTTGTAAATAACGGCTAGCTATTAGAACAGATCATTAGATATCCTTCATTAGATATCCTTCATAAGAGCTCAATAGATTGTCAGGACTGCATCACTGTTTTGCCTGTATGTTTTTTTGACTCTCAGTGCCAGAAGCAATCCCATTTATCTATAGACACTTGCTCTGTTGGCCCATGCCGCATTAGTTCAGTGCAATTTTGAGTAAACTGTATTTCAGTCTGTTCTTCACACAGAAATATCACTTTCGAGGACTTGAAATACAGTATGATCATATGAATTAAAGGTTTTTTTCATTGACACTAAGATGTTAAGAAGTTAATGTTGCAAATCTTCTTTTGACATTGCTATTTTTAAGAGGATTTAATACAATTATCCAGCAAAGGCCAAAAGTTGATCAAATGTGATAATAAACATTTTTATTTTTAAATGAATTCTAATCCTTACAGTATAAACTTTCTACTTATCAAACTATACTGAGAAAATATATCACACTTTCTACAAAGTGGCACAATACTATCAAAATGAATTGATTATTTCTTTTAGGATCATTTGACATTGAATATTTTAGTAATGGTTGCAAAAAAAAATGAGCAATAAATTATAGAAGAACAAATTATATATTAGGCGGCATAGTGGATCAGTGGTTAGTACTGTTGCCTTACAGCAAGAAGATTGCTGGTTTGAGTCCCAGCTGGGACAGTTGGCATGTCTGTGTGGAGTTTGCATGTTCTCCCTATGTTTGCTCCGGGTGCTCCAGTTTCCCCCACAGTCCAAAGACATGCAGTAGTTGAATAGGATGAACTAAATTGGCCGTGGTGTATAAATGTGTGTGTGAATGCGAGAGTGTATGGGTGTTTCCCAGTACTGGGTTACAGGTGGAAGGGCATTTACTGCGAAAAAAACATATTCCGGAATAGTCGGCGGTTTATTCCATTGTGGCGAACCCTGATGAATTAAGGGACAAAGCTGAATGAAAATTAATGAATGAGTTGGCGGTTCATTCTGCTGTGGCTTTCTCTGAAAAATTTAAGACTAAGCCGAAGGAAAATTAATAAATTAATCATATATTAAAATAAATTAAAATCACAAATGTTTTTAATGCTTCATAGCTTTATTTTACTGTATTTTAGATCAAATAAATGCAACCTTGCTAAGAATATTCCACTCATTCCAAAATATATGCAAATAATTCTGACCACAAACTTTTAAAAGTAGTTTTGTTTCTCACATACCTCTATAGAAAACATGAAGCTACAGAAAATTATTTGCCCATGAAAATGATCAGTGTTCATTAAACATTAGAATCAAAAGCCATGTAATAAATTCATGCATAGAACAGACAGCCAAATATTTGCACTGATCTGAGAGCAATATCCTCATAACGCAAGACATGTTGGGTTTAATTTAGTGTGGAAGCTTCCCTGTGAACTGAACCTTAGTTGGAAAGACGTAATATTGCCAAGATCACCAAAGCACCTAATGCCTCCTGAAATAATGACTCACAATTTCCTTTTTTTCTTTTCTTATCTTATCTTTGTTGCCAAAGCAAACCTGCCTGACTGCAATCCCCTAGATAAGCAATAAATCAACTTTACATATTTCACAACACATCCAGATGATACCAGTAAAAACTCCCCTCAGGACTCGCATTTATTTCAGTGACACACCATTTATTTTATCTGAAAAATAATTGTAAAAATCTATATAAAAAATAAATATTTAAATGACTAACCAGTTAAAACTTAATTAAACATAAGAGTGTTAAAATGATATGAATAGCATAAATATTGCTCTCTAATAAAATCATAATACTGAATTTGAAATTATAAGGAATAACACATACTTTATGCTGTAAGTAACATGGACATCCATCTGCAAGCAAAGTAATAGTGACTAGTTTTTAGATGCAGAGATCAAGGCTGCTCTCAAGTGGACAAACTGTGAACTTCAAAGAATAAAAAATCTTTTGAAATCATTTCAATTATTACTTAAAAAAACTAGATTAAGCAAAATTTCTATTTTTTTAAAACTGAACGATTTCTGAATAACGTGTGACATTAAAGACTGATATAATTAGTGCCAAAAAATCAGCTCTGCTATCATAGGAATAAATGACTTTTTAGAATAATACATGAGAAACTGACTATTTATGAGATTGTATAAAATAAAATGATGCAACATCCACAGGGACTTTATAATTAGACATTTTATAAATAATCATAAGACTTGCTGTTGGCTTCAAATAGACACATTATTAAGACGTGTGCATGTGTGGGTGTGTGTGGGTGTGTGTGACTGTGTATACGGTTGAGGGATACTATATAGTGCATACTATATGTGGGTACTGGAAGATTGCCTAAACACATGCAGTTACTCTTCAGTTCTTCAAACACCAGAAACTCGTATTAACAATATGTCATGTTTTCCACAAAGTGGTCATAATTTATGATAGTAAACTATACCATATTCTTTGTTTAGACACAAATTGCATTTGATTATCATGATGACCCTATTTACGTTGACCACTACAGAAGAAACTGCTTCCAAGTTCTCTGAATTTGCCAACAATAAGTATGTGTTCTGAAACAAACGTTCAGCTGTGTTTTATTTTATACTGATGTCTTATACTGATATTGTTTTCACACCTTAAATATTAGAAAAAATACAGTTGAAATCAGAATTATTAACCCCTTTGAATTTATCTTTTTTCATTATTTCTCAATTGATGTTTAACAGAGCAAGAAAAATTTGACAGTAAGTCTGATAATATTTTTTTTCTGGAGAAAGTCTTATTTGTTTTATTTCGGCTAGAATAAAAGCAGTTTTTATTTTTTTAAATGCCAATTTAAGGTCAGAATTATTAGCCCCTTTAAGCTATATTTTTTCGATAGTCTACAAACCAAACTATCATTATACAATGACTTGCATAATTACCCTAACCTGCCTAGTTAATCTAATTAACCTTGTTAAGCCTTTAAATGTCACTTTGAGCTGTATAGAAGTGTCTTGAAAAATATCTAGTCAAATTATATTTACTGTCATCATGGCAAAGATAAAATAAATCAGTTATTAGAAATGAGTTATTAAAACTTTTAATTTTAGAAATGTGTTGAAAAAAATCTTCTCTTTATTAAACAGAAATTAGGTGACAAAATTAACAGGGGGGCTAATAATTCTGACTTCAACTGTATGTTTACGCAAATAGACCTATAAACATGAGCATACTGACAAAACAAAAATATGTAACAGCCTAATTGTTTACATTTATTTATTAATTGGTTTAATTTAATATGAATCGCACCCAAAGAGACACAGTTGTGGCCTGTATTTAGTTTTAATGTATATAAGGGCCATAAAGGAGTAAGAAAGTTTAACCTTGTGCCATAACATTTACATTTGCATTTAGTCATTTAGCAGACGCTTTTATCCAAAGCGACTTACAAATGAGGACAAGGAAGCAATTTACACAACTAAGAGCAACAATGAATAAGTGCTATAGGCAAGTTTCAGGTCTGTAAAGTCTAAGAAGGGAAGTATTAGTAGTATTAGTATTTTTTATTTTTTTATTTTTTTTGGGTACAGTTAGTGTGATATTCAGAGAGGCAATTGCAGATTAGGAATTCTGCAATTGCAGATTAGGACATCTGTCTGCTGCAGCTAACGCTATTGCTGTATCGTTAATCTAAGGTAAACACCCAGAGGTTGCAATCCAATAAAAAATGGCTTTTTATTTGTTTTATTTCTATTCTTTTATGTATTAACTACTATTTCCATTTTCTGTTGGTTATTTATATGGTTATTTATTAAGGGATTAATTCAAATTAAATTTAACAAATGAATGAATGCTCTAGTCTAAACAACAATATTCTTATTTCAAATTTTATTATTACTGCGATTTTATTATTGCTTACAACTAAATATTTACTATTTTACTAAATAAACCACGACTGATGAAAAATACAAAGAACTAAATGACTATTTATAATATTTTTACAGCTATATTGTTAGTAAATAATTATTTTCTTCCATGATGTTTTATTGCAGTGTTAGAGACATTATAGGGTTAAAGGCAGCTGTGTAAACGTGAAGTCCTTGGAGGAAGATTCAGGACCAATCACAGCTTTAAAAGGACATAATTGTTTTGAAATACTGCAGGACTTACAGTCTCTCCTCCGCCACTGCCTTTGTGTCTTTAACAAGATACACAGTGCCGAAGCTTCCCTTCCCGAGTCTCTGCTGGATGATGTATCTGTTCGCTATCAGGCTGCACAGATCAGGAGATGTTTCTGATTCTGGATGACAGTTTGTTTGGCCTGGACGCTCACGAAATCTGGGCATTTTAAGCCGGGAATTTAACGCAGTCAGCTGAGGAGATAAAAGTCGAGGAGAGTCAACAGAGAAACGCTCTCGTGACGTCATTGCTTTCTCACCTCTTTATTTATTTACGTGTTTTGGTATTTGAAGTTCATGAAAAGAAAACATAGAAACACCACTCATTTAATTCATATGAACAAACCATAAGCTAGTCGCAGTTGATTACATCTTCTAGCAAAAAACAAAATAACTATAAAAACAAGATTACTTGATGAAGTTCAGGATTTGATATTGGAGACGCATAGCGAAGACACAGAATAACATAAAAAGCTGAATTGAATTCAAATTCTAATTAGTTTTCTCTATGTGAATTGTGTATTAGCTAACGTTGATGATTTGTTTATCCTCACCTGTGCGTCGGAAGTTTGCTTGACCACATGTGCTCAACTTCCCGTGTTACGTTGTTGTTATGGGAACTGTGCAGTCGCACTATTCTCCTTAAGATGGCGCTAATGTGCACTGCTGACTGTAAGCTAAATTTTGCCAAGTGGTGCTCACTGCAGAGCCACTTGACTTGGGCAGAGCTGAGCTCCAGCAAGGGAAAGCTTGAGCTCCAGCTCCTCCTTCCTTGCGCTTCTTCTTTGAGTGATGTAACTAGGGGAAGTGGGTTAGGGGTGGGGTGGGTGTACGCATTAAAACAGCTTATAGGAGGAGAGAGAGCTCAAGCTACCCCTCGCTGGCCATGGTGCTGTTGTATTGGTCTTATAGGTGGTTTTGTAGGTTAGTTTTGTAACTGTTTGGTAAAGGGTCATAAGATATGTTGGTTATAAACACTGTGAACAGTTTTTTTTTAAATATATAGCTTCAGTATTTAAAAAAAAAAAAAGTAATTCAGTGTTACATGTGCATTCCTGCGTTGCGTGATTATTAGCATTTTTCCTCTAGTCTTCTTTCTCTCTCTCTCTCTCTCTCTCTGTGTGTGTGTGTGTGATAAAATGAAAAAAAAACTCCGCAATTACTTTTTATTTTTTAAAATACATAATTTTGTGTGGGTTTTTTTTCAACAAATCAGTGACATCATTTGAGAAGTTGGCCATTAAAGTGTTAAAATCCTGTAAATTTTCTAAACAATTTAGTAGTTTGAATCAGGGCTGAGGTTAATTAACAGATTTATGCAAAACAATTTGATAAATAAAGGGTTGTAAATTTGAACAGTGCACTAGGGTTTAAACCCTACATTTTCCATTGCTTAAATATTTTTTTTATAACAATACATATATAAATAATATTACATATATTGTAAATAGTACTTTGCAAATACTATTACAATACATTGAGTTCTACAAATGCTTTTTAGATACTGAATTACAATTCGTTTTTAAATACTTCAATACTGAAGCTACATTTTCAAAACTGTTTACACAGTGTTCATTACTAACTTCTCTTATGACCCTTGACCAAACAGTTACAAAAGTAACCTTCAACACCACCAAAAAAACTAACTCAGACCAACACAACAGTTCAAGTAGCTACATCTGAAAATAAGCTTGTTTCACCAAACCACTGACAACCATTCTCATTCAGAAAACACACATTTCATTCATAACGCATTGACATGAAACACAAACAACAGAACATTATAGAAATTACATTTTATTTTTGAAGTTTGAATTAACTTTCACATACATCAGTATGTACAGTAGTTGTATATTTACCACATTTTCACTGTCTTAAATGTGCTTAATTATGATTGATAAGGAGGAAACAAATCGCAGCAATTTGATGTAAAAACACAGTTTTTCTCAATCACTTTAGACTATTCTGCAAATGAAACATGCAAGCACCGGATCACACAACAAAATAATTCCTGTCATGTAGCAACAAATAATAACTTGACTTAGTTGATAGTTGATAGGTGATTATTTGGAAAAGTGGCAGAAGGTAAAATTTTTTATGAATCATGTTGATCTGCATCCCAATCATCACAAATACTGCAGAAGACCTAATGGAACCCGCATGGACCCAAGATTCTCACAGAAATCAGTCTTGTTTCAAGTTTGGTGAAGGAAAAATCATGGTTAGGGATTAAATTTAGTGTAGGGGCCTGCAAGAGATCTGCAGAGTGGATGACAACATCAACAGCCTGAGGTATCAACACATTTGAGCTGCCCATTATACATTACCATCCACAGGAGAGACAAATTCTTCAGGAGAGCGCTCCTCATACTTTAGCTTCCACTGGTGTCTCCACCACAATATTCTTAAAAGCAAAGAAGATTAAGGGGTTCCAGGATTGGCCAGCCCAGTCACAAGATATTAACATTATTGAGCATGTCTGTGGTAAGATGGAGGAGGAGGAGATGAAGATGAATCCAAAAAAATATTGGTTACTCTTGATTTTTTATTCTTGTCCTGCAAGAAAGCTTTCTTTTCCATTCCAGATGACTTTATTAATAAGTTATTTGAGTCATTGCAGAGGTGTCTGGATGCAGTCCTCCAAGCTCAGGGGAGTCTTACACTATATTCATTCTTTTTCCACTGCACCATGACTTTATATTTTATACATTTAGAAATGAGTTATTAAAACTATTATGCTTAGAAATGTGTTGAAAAAAAATCTTCTTTTATACATTTGTACATTATTTCTGTTAAGTGACAATACTTTTGCCTAAGCAAAGTCAGACCTTACTGTCCTGATTAAATAATTAAAAATCAAGCTTCAACTCCTAACTCTTACTTTAAATTAAATGGCACAAGATGATTTTATCAGTCTAAAAATGCTCAGAAGAATTTAATTAATAAAAGTAAGGAAATCTGGTTATTTACGTTTGGATTCCTCTGATATATCATATGAAAGCTAATGCAGGTCAGCCGTGATCAATCATAAACACGGGAACCTCTTAAAACTAGTTTACAAATAAACTTCACAAAATGCTTTTATCAGTCTAAAACAATGTTCATAATAATTTAATGTATGTTTGTACAAGAAAAAAAAAACTATACATAGTCATATGCTTCCTCTGTTTTTTAAAGAAGTTTTTATCTGTCTTGCTAGGAAGTTTCCATGAATGCGTTGCTTTCTATTGTCACTTTTCTTCTTTATTAGTTGCTTCAAATATAGCAAAACAAGACTGACACTGAGAGAGGTGTTGATGATGTCAGGTTTCCTATCTTTGAAGGACATGTTTGTATTTCTTTTACACACACACACACACGCACACACACACATGCACACATGCACACACACTCTTATCACATCAAGCAGTCTTCACTGCGCTGTAAATGGATTCATTCTGCTCCTCTGTGTTGGCAGATCTATAAATAAAGACGATCAATTCAGTCAAATACTGTACTCATATCACTTTGCACAGCTTCGAAAAATAAAAATAGTGTCACATTATCTCCATATCCACTGATCCATTTCTTAAAACATTTAACATTTTTTTTAATGCAATACCTTTAAAAATCTGATCGTAGTAATTAAAGACTTACATTTGTTTTTGGGATTTAACGTCGATTTCTTTGGGTTTAACGGTGACACACGTATACAGCACTTCATCTACCTTTGATTCATCCACTGCTTCCTGTGGGTTTGAGTGAGAGGTTGAGTTACACTTTATCACTGTCCTGCTTATTTTTATGATAATAGTACATAATAAAGCTTTTCTTTTCATTCACATTTTCATTCTGAATAATGAATTTACAAGAGGAGCATAAAACTTAAATTATGCATTTCAGTTGTTCTCTATTGCTTTGACTCAAATATTAAATGAATGATTTTTTTGTCATAAAAACAAGTTCAGATCTCTGAACATGTAGCTTCTTGTTCACATCAGATTGGAATTTCAAGTTGCAAATGCTTTGGCACATGTGTGTAAACCATAACTGAAGATTTTAGTATACACTACATGTTTTTCGCAGTCACTTTGGTACATTATACCATCATGCAAACATGCTAAAGCCAGTCTCTTGATCAAAACCTTCGTTCATCTTTCAGAAATAAATATCAGCGTCAATGAACACATCAGTGCTAGTTTTCATAAACATGGTTTTGCAGATATACTTACAGTTGCTTGACAGATGTTGTCATCCGAAACTCTGGTTCCTTCTCCTACTTCCTTTAGGTTTTTTTGAGTTTCTGCTTTGCTTCTAAAAAAAGTTAAATTAACGCACATCTTTGATAATCTCAGGATACACAGCAAATTCATCAGAGTTAAATTCTCGGTGTTGAAGCATTTCAGAGTAAAATGTTGACGTTAAAGAGTTAGATTTTGATAAATGAATATAATAAGAGTTAAAATTGATTTTATTCAGTGCGAAATCAAGGAGTTATCTTTTCAACACTTGGTGGTGTTATTTCCAACATCCGGGAATTCATGCAGCCCCAGTCACTGAAGAATTTTCCAGACGCCATTTTCCATCTGAGGTTTAGAACAGCAACTGGTGAGTCGAACTACCTAAATGTTGGTATTTTACTGACTTTCTTTTAAGGAAATACAGTTGTAAACATATTGTTAAGTTAATAACTTTAGAATGGAGTGACAATTTTAAACTTCTGCGGTTCATTCATGGTCGTTTGTGTATCTAGCTTAACTGCATTACTATTGACTTCTTTTCAAGAATGTTTTTATATATGCTCACGCATACATAGTGCATAAAAACATCAAATGTACATGTTCAACACATTTCTGTCACGCTTAATGCCATTTTGTGCGTTGTTACCCATCTGTAAAATAAAATCGACACTTCTCCTTTAATTCGAAGCAAACTAGCGAGGGAATCCACGGAGCAGCCTAGCCTACTCTGCCCGGATGCTAACGGCAACACAGGACGGTTTCAATGAGCTCTGGAGAGTTTCTAAAACATATCTGGTGAGTAAATGAACATGCTTACTTGTAAAAGGCTTCCTGACTAAAACATATGATTGTTTGTTATTCGTGTACGTTAATTTGGTTATTTTAAACACCGCGGCCCTTTTAAACTGGTTGATTCGTGGCCGTCCATATACTGTTAGTCCATAGACTCGTGTGATAACGTAACAGTTACGCTTGAATTATATTAAGTGTTGACAACCATTAAAGTCGGAATGTTAACATTAATGTCTTTAAATGACCGCGTTTGCACTTTATCAGACATTTGACGTTACAGAAGTCTCCCGGAAGTTGCGGGACTAACGTTAACGTTATCCCGCAAATGCACAGAGACTCCCAAATGCCCAAGTAGATGCCCGCAAATGAATGATAATCTCCTGGAAATCGCGCGTATCCCGCCCGGTCATTAAACACTTTGCACACCCCTCTCCACCGCATCCCTCCCAGCTCTTCAGGTACGTCGCGCGCAAGTCACCCCCACCTCTCTTTAGGTACGTCGCGCGCAACTCATCTCATTGCTCTTCAGGTTCTCATCTCTCCCGCTACCTCCCGCAAATCAACTCTGTATCCCCCGAAAATGACTTTTGCCAACTCAGGATGTCTGACGTTAGTAAGTTAGGCTATTTCTGTAGTCAGGAACATCTTAGTCAAGCTTTTTCTCCCGCATGATATTGTGCTTAAAACTATAGGCTAAACTTAGCATGCACTGTACACAACATTTCCGTTTTATTAAAGACAATTTAGTGCGTTGTAAACAGCCACCTGTCTGTAAAATTAATCAACTGATTCATATTTGAGCAGCCAAATGATGATACAGGTTTGATTTGTAGATTTATTATCAATAATCAACATCTAAATCAAAAGATATCTGAAAAAGTGTGAAGCATACTTTGTGATGTTCATCTTTCCTTTTTATCTGAAGGTTATGCATATGTGTTAGATACTAATGTGTTGTTGTTTTTTAACAGCCACAGTTCTCTATACAATAACACAAGACCCTGTGACGGTGGCTGATTAGAGACGGATGGTGTATTTCCAGAGTTGGTGAAATGACCAAGCACACCTTCTTGGTCATATGTGGTGATAATAATGAAGGTATGTTTGATAAAGTTCTGTATTTGTTTCACAATAAGCTAAGAGGGTATTAGAGCATTAGAGAATAACAAATGACATGAAGGTGATAAGTTTTGTATTGTGGGTGAACTGTTACTTAAATAATGTTTTGCTCTTTGCTTTGCACTTTTCCTCTTCTGCTTATCCTAATATTTTAGATTATATTTGGACCTGAAACATCTGCTAGACTCCAGTAAAGGTGGCGTCAATACTGGACCTGAAAGGGCCTAACAAGTTGAGTCTGGTAAAGAAACACACACACACACACACACACACGCACGCACGCACACGCTTACAGAAAACTGTAAGTTTATGAATATTTTTTACACTGTGGCCAATATTTTGGGGAAGTCAGCATCACTAGATGATATAAAAGATTTTAAGCTCCTCTAAATTTTGCTCCAAGTGTTGTGTTAAATTCAGGATTCTGGACAGACAGCTGCCTGTTTTTCCAGTTCTAGTCATAGTGGTTAACCTAATTGTTTTTGGAGATCCAACAGTGATGTATGTGTTTTTTCTACTTTTCCATATCCTGTCACCTCAACCAGCTGGGAGAGTCAAGTTGTGGATCATCATGTAGATTTTCAAAAGGTGAGTTTAGATTTCTTGAATGTTTTATTTACTTTAAATGTTCTTTTAAATATATCATATAATTTGATTGCAATTTGTTTTCAAACATTTTTCTTATCATTTTTCTTTTCATGCTGGAGTCTTGAAGAGCTCTTAGATGAGCATCACCCTATATCCGTGCATCAGGAACCACCAGATGAGCGATCAGCAGCTGCTACATCGTCATGGATAAAAAGGTCATCCTGTGGCTGGGAAGCACTTCATTCACAGGACATGCTTGATGAGATTTCCTAGCTCCAGTTTGTTTTCACACAAGTTTACAGCATTTGTACCTTCATTTAAACTGCTGTGTTTGATATGGAGGACCAAGGAAACACCAGAAGTGAAAGATTTAAAGATTTGCACGCCAAGTTGTTTAAAATGTAATTTCAGAAGAAAACTATGCGTTCAGAAGAAAACTATGAGTGACGCTATATTGAACTTTCAAATTGCACTGATGAAACATCAAGTTTGGACCAAAGGACTGAAACAGCCTTTTTGAGCACTGGTCATACATATTTTGTTGATACTGTCTGTACTAATAAAACATTTAAAGCATATTTGACATTGTTGCATTTTAAAAACTGAATGAATTGTTGAAGTAGTGAATGTTTTCAAATAAAATGTTTTTTCTTTTGTAATTTACAGTCTATTTGACCTTTTTACCATATTTACACTCAAGAAAGTTGAATAAAATAACAATATATTACACCAGGCGGTGTTAAATATAGTTACATATTTTAACTCTGCCCAGAGTTGAAATTAACCCTTACTTCGGTGTTAATGTGCCAACCCTTTTGAAAGTGTTGATTTAACTCTGTTTTGAGTGGACCCCATGAGACACTTTCAAAGGGTTGAAATTAACACCCATAGAGTTGTTTTGGGTCCCCATATTTTGCTGTGTAGGCGCTTAAAGTGTTAGGTTAATTTAAAATCATTAAATAGATGCATTATCTGATCTAAAACTGTTTTTCTATGGTATACATGCAGTCTATTTTGTTTCACAAGTCATCACCATTTGTTTTCATCATCACCTTCACCACCAAAAGCAAAACTCTTCTGGAAACTATGACAAATTCACACATGGTTTCAAAGCTAATTTTAAGACTGTGTCTTCATCTGGAATGTTTTAACAGATCCTTTTGTACTTTATGAATGTTGAAATGTCCACTATTGTTTCATTTGGACCGACTGAGAGACTTATTATGAGTGCAAGTAAAACTAAAATCTTCCTACCTTCTTATAAGAAACACAGCTGCAATAATGGTGAACACAAGCAAGACTGAAGACACAACAATAATCAGAAGAGTTGAGAACTCAGAAACATCTGTTGAAGACAACAAAAAGTGTGTATATGCAATTTATATTCCAAATATGAATCGTATGTAGATACGAAGAGGTTCATTTGTTTATTAGATCTACCAACCTTCAATGTACATGCTAAATCCTCCAGATAAAGTGTTTGTAAAGTTCGTCAAAGAACAAGAGTATTTTCCAGAGTCTTCAGCAGTGATGTTGTTGAAGATGAGGATTGGGTTTGTTTGTTTCATCAGTTCACCATTCTTAAACCACTGAACCTCTGATAAATCATTAGGACAGTCCAGTGAACAAGTCAAATTCACAGAGTCTCCAGTTATTGTGCTTCCATTAATTCTTGACCTGGACATGGAGACTTTTAACTCTGTCAGAAAAAGAATTTAAAACACTCCATAATCAAACAGAGAGATTACTGGACTGAACACAAACTAAACATTGACAACAAAAGTTTTATGAATATTTATTTTTACAATATTTACCAGATACTGAAATGTTCACTCCGGGATCACCTGTCCACTTGCCATTTGGAAGACTAGTAATAAATCTGAACTTATATTCTCTAGATTCTGTGAGCTTAATATCATTAATCAAAAGAGAACAATCTGAAGCTTTATTTCCAATGTATTGAAAACTAACTGAATTATTCTTGGCTTCACTGTCAAAGACATATGGTCCAGACTCACACTTGTTAAAGTTTGAGTTCATTGAACACCACAGCACTTGCTTTACTGCGTCTGGGTCATTTCCTGGAAATGTAAATGTGCAGGCAATAGTGACATTGGATCCTCTTGCAGCACAGATCTGAGAAGGATAATTCACATTCCACTCATCACTGAGAACACCTGCAGCACAGAACACTTCATTTTTATTAATGATGTATAAAAATTATGTATTTTACTTAAAATATTTCAAGATGAATATTGTGAGGGACTTCCGGATTACTGGTAAAGTTTTTTATATTTATAAATCATTAATGTATGAAAATCACCTAACCTTAATCAACATTAGAATACTAAAATAAAGAAGTATATTGATACCTAAAACATTCAATATCCTTATTCGATTTGTGAAATGCAAATAGCACAGAAACATAGATAGTTTGTATTTATTTATTTATTTATTTATTTATTCATGGCACATTTCTAATTACTTCCAGGATAAAAAGAAAAAAATGCAAGCTTTATTAAATGGTCTCAGACATTTGTATTCAGACCCATTCTGGTCACATTTTACTATAATATTCCATCAGTTATTGCTACAGTAGTTTATCAGTATGATAATGAATCAATGAACATTACATTTACTACAACCGTTATTTATCTTTTATCTTTTTCAATATTGCAGTCTGTCATTGTTAGTTCTTGATTGTTAGCATAATTTAGGATTTTCTTAATGCATTAGTAAATGTTGAATATGATTAATAAATGCTGTTCAAGTGTTGATCATTCTTAGTTCACATTAGCAAATACATTAACTAACATAATAACTAAACAAAATAACTAATAAAGCTTTATTGAAAAGTGTTACCCCTATTTCTGCTATTGTTTAATGAGTGATTGTGGATTTTTTAAATATGTCACATTAAATAATTCATAGATAAATGGTTTTAAAACATTATGTTAGTTCAAAACAGTAAATTAGTTTCTTAAATGAAGAATAAGCAACACATAAATACTGCTTTAGAAAAATATTTCTTACCGGGCAGGAGGAAAAGAAGAAACTGTAGCATTTTGATCCACTGTTTCAGTTATTTAGCTCGTAGAAGATGTTTTTATTCAATGTAGAGACAAGAAGAAAAAAGCAGTAAAAGAAGAAGCAGCTGAGAGGTTAATGCTAACATTTCCATTTCCTCTTCCCTTTACTGGCATCTGTGGTTCAGTCAAGAGAATTGAAATCTACATTTCACAACATGTTACTTTTGTTAAATTTTAAAAAATTTCCTTTGATTTTTAAAATGTTCTCAATAAAAACAAAAAGTTCTTTTAAAAAATGTTTGCCGAAAAAGATTTTGGGGAACTAAAATAGTTCTACTATGAAGTTGTTGCTAATTAATTTATTCATTTAAAATTCATTCATTCATTTTCTTGTCGGCTAAGTCCCTTTATTAATCCGGGGTCACCACAGCGGAATGAACCGCCAACTTATCCAGCAAGTTTTTACACAGCGGATGCCCTTACAGCCACAACCCATCTCTGGGAAACATCCATACACACATTCGCACACACATTCATACACTACGGACAATTTAGCCTATACCCAATTCTCCTATAGCGCATGTCTTTGGACTGTGGGGGAAACCGGAGCACCCAGAGGAAACCCACGCAAAGGCAGGGAGAACATGCAAACTCCACACAGAAACGCCAACTGAGCCGAAGTTCGAACCAGCGACCCAGCGACCTACTTGCTGTGAGGCGACAGCACTACCTACTGCGCCACTGCCTCGCCTTCATTTAAAAAAATAAATTATTTTATTTATACCATCAATTTTCTTTTTTAAGCAATATCACATGCTGTTCATTAAGGCCAAAGAATTTTTAAAGTGGTCTTGAACTGTTGAATTAAGCTGCGGTCACAGAGTTTGAGAGTGCAAAATTCTGTCGTATGGCGCTACAAAAAAAGGCGGGATTAAACAAGATGATTAGACATTTTTTTTTAAATTGCTTTTATGTGTCAAAAGTATTCATTATGTATTACAATGCATATCAATATATTTAGTTCTTTTAGTTTTTTAAGAACCGTAAGGAATAACTGCATAAATTATTTTGCATCAAAAAAGCATTTTGATATTGGTAAAGGTATCAATCACTGGCATATTAGCAGTCAAAACAGATGCATTACTGCATAAATTATTATCCTTTTTTTAAAAAGACAAATATTGTGCATGTACACATTTGTATCTAAAATGTTATTATCAATAATTTTTTGTACTTTTATTTCGGAGTGCAGATTGCATACGTTTTTTACATATATAATATATATTTATTATTTTCCTAAATGTATAACTACTGTAAGAAAATATCAGAATTCGGTACTTACTTTCAGTATTATCTTTACTTGAACTTACCTGATTTAATCCTGTTTATATTAAATGAACCTGCTCCCAAGCAGGTTTGAGATACCAGAACTGTTGCTATGACAACAAGTCTCAAGTTGAGTTTTGAAGAACGAAATGATCCTGGATCATGTCAAATCGTCAATATCCAAATACAGCTAATTGAGTAATCCACGTACGAAGAACGGACCCCAGCACATGGGGAAATCACATGACACAAACACAAAACCCTTGATAGTACTGTGGTTCCACATAATAAAAATTAAAAAGACTAAGTAAGAATTTAATTTATGGTTAAAAATTCTTCTAAATTTCATCTGAATGATTAGTTATAATTTGAACATTAATCAGAAGAGAACAATCTGATGTTTTATCTCCAATGTATTGAAAATTGATAAAATCATTGATGGCTTCGCTGTCATAGAAATATGGCCACAGTTTAACCCAGTTTCATAAAATCAGTCTGCTGCAGCTGACGCTATTGCTTTGTTGTTAATCTGTAAACACCTCAGGGATTGCAATTCAGTGGAAAGATGACTTTTCATTTGCATGTTGTTTTTATATAACTATACCTACTATTTTCATTTTCATGGGTTATGAATAAGATATGATAATGCTAATAGCTTAATACATTTTATTTGACTTTTGGAGATCACCAAGCAGCCACAAGGGTCCCGACCTCACTTTGTGGCTCCCAATAAATAATATATGCTCTAAATAATAATGTAAAATATGCTTTATATGCATACTTTCAACCAATATTTTAACTAAAAACATGAAATATTTTGTATTAATCTGCTGCCATTTTCTACAACTAAATGCTCTAAAAACAATATTCTTATTTAAATTTTTATTATTAATTGTATTTAGGTAAAATAATCATAATCTAGAGGCCTTTGCCTTTCATATAAGCCACTTCTGACACCAAATGATCAACTAGAAGTTATTATTTGTTGTATCTAAATCTTGGACAGGTGACAAGACTTTTGTTAGGTAGCGTATCTGTGAAATGGTACACATTTGGCTCTCTGTGTCTATGATTTATAACACGGTCAAGGTCAAGAAAAAAGTGGCTGTAGGCAGGAGCAGTTTTTCAGCTTGTAATCAGTTTGGAAGCAGTGTCATTTTCTCTGTTTCAAAGCAAATGTGTTGTTGACAGTTTTAAAATTTGATTGTTGTGTTCAAAAATGTCCTTAAAATTTATTATAATAGAGTATGAATGACAAAAGTGTTTGGACATGTTTAAAAATGTGTTCATTGTAAGAATTTTGTGTGAAAGCAACACCCCACATTTCAAAAGCATTTGCAATTTGTTGGAAGGAATGAGAAACTCTACTATGTTGTGCACAAATGACTAAATGTTTTGAGAAATGCTGTTGTGGAAATGTAAATAGTGTTGTGTGAAATGCACCAAAGCCACTGAGTTACACTTTTTTTACACATTTTTCTAACATAGTTTCCATCGTGTTAAATTGTTCTTTGCACTGATGTATGTAAAAATACTCAGTCTAACAAGTGAGTTTTTAGTTAGTCGTTTGATTCTATGTAAATGATGTGTGGTGTCCTGAATGTCATGAAATATATTGTTGAATAATGAAATAACTAATACAAATATCACAAAAGCTTTATTATGCATGTTGGATTTACAATAGAACATTATATATATATATATATATATATATATATATATATATATATATATATATATATATATATATATATATATATATATATACATACAGTTGAAGTCATAATTATTAGCCTCGTTCGATTTTTTTTCTTCTTTTTAAAATGTTTTCTAAATGTTGTTTAACAGAGCAAGGAAACTTTCACAGTATGTCTGATAATATTTTTTTCTCCTGAAGAAAGTCTGATTTGTTTTGTTTCGGCAAGAATAAAAGCCGTTTTTAATTTTTTAAACACTATTTTAGGGACAGAATTATTAGCACCTTTAAGCTATATTTTTTCTCGATAGTCTACAGAACAAACCATCATTATACAATAACTTGCCTAATTACCCTAACCTGCCTTGTTAACCTAATTAACCTAGTTAAACATTTAAATGTCACTTTAAGCTGTATAGAAGTGTCTTAAAAATATGTAGTAAAATATTATTTACTGTCATCATGGCAAAGATAAAATAAATCAGTTATTAGAAATGAGTTATTAAAACTATAATGTTTAGAAGTATGTTGAAAAAATCTTCACTCTGTTAAACAGAAATTGGTGAAAAAATAAACAAGCAGTTTAAAAATTCAGGGGAGCTAATTATTCTGACTTCAACTGTCTGTATATATCACAATAAACAATGGGTATGTAAACGTATAAGCCTAAAATAAACATATAAATATCAGGAAGCAGTATAGCAAATTAACTGGTGTAGGTCACTATTTGTTAGCTTAGGCTATTCACAAGCTTATCGAGCTTGAAATAATCAAATTTGTGCAAGAAATGTTATTTACAGCACTATTAGCTGTAATCCACAACCCCATCAAACAGTCCTGAGCTTGCCTTTATGACAGACTGGAACATGAGCAGAATTCTAAATATACAAATGCAAACTGCCATTGTTAGCTTTTACAATCAAAAGGAAAGATACAGTGTGATACTAAAAAAGTACATACTTTTTACGACTTCAGCTACTTGTAAATGTGTGTGTGTGTGTGTGTGTGTGTGTGTGTGTGTGTGTGTGTGTGTGTGTGTGTGTGTGTGTGTGTGTGTGTGTGTGTTCATCTTTGTACCAGTAAAATACAACACTCTATGTTTTGTTTATCTAATATCTAATGAATGCAACAGTATGTATTTGTAACTAGTATTTTTAAGATCAAGTTTGCACAGTTAATTCTTGTTGCATGTCCACACTCTCCAGTGACCTGAAAGGTTTTAATTTGCATAAAGGTTTACAATTTACCTATTTAAGCTGATCTTAGCTTGTCATTTTAATTGGGTTGAAGCTCTTGTATTGCTATACATTTTGTAATTGTTTTATGTCTTTAATTTTAATTTTTTGCTATTGTTTTTTTTTTTTATCAAGAAACATCTAGGCCTAAGATGTTTTCTTTAGCTTAAATGCAACTCCTAACTTAACTTACTTTAAAATTAAATAATACAAAATGCTTTTATCTGTAAAAAATAATGCTTATAAGAATTTAATTTATGTCTGTTAGAGAAAAAAAATACATATATATGTACATAGTCATATTCTTGCTCTGACAGTTTCAGAGCTGAAAACACACATTGTTTTTTAAAGAAGTTGTTATTTACTTTATCATACTAAGAAGTTTCCATTAATGCATTGCTTACTATTATCGAATTTTCTTTTATATTAGTACCTTCAAATATAGCAAAACCAGACTAACACTGGAGGAACACTGGAGGAACTGTTGGTGATGTCATGTTTTCTATCTTTGAAGGGCACGATTGTATCTCTTTTACACACGTGCGCGCACACACACTTGTATCAAATCAAGCAGTCTTCACTCCGCTGTAAATGGATTCATTCTGCTGTTCTGTGTTGGCACACCTAAAAACAGATCCATCCTTTAAAACATTTTTTTTTTTTTTTTATGCAATACCCTAAAAAAACTGATCATAGTAATTAAACACTCACGTTTGTTCTTGGGATTTAACGTCTGCTTTTTTGGGTTTAACGGTGACACTCGTATACAGCACTTCATCCTCCTTGGATTCATCCACTGCTTCCTGTGGGTTAGAGTCAGAGGTTGAATCACAGTTTTTCTTTGTCCAATGCATTAATTTACCTTTGACTTAGTTCCTTATTTATCAACACAGCAGAATGAACCGTCAACTATTCCAGCATATGTTTTATGCAGCCGCAACCTAGTATTGGGAAACACCCATACACTCTCACATTCACAAACACACACTCTTACACTACAGCCAATTTTGATTATTTAATTAAACTGTACCGCATGTCTTTGGACTGTAGGGAAAAACGGCCCAGAGGAAACCCACGCAAACACAGGGAGAACATGCAAACTTCACACAGAAATGCCAACTGGTAAAATCCAAACTAGATTTTCTTGTTGTGACAATTAGTCATTTGTGCACATCATAGTAGCAGTTTCTCATTCCTTCCAACAAATTACAAATGCTTTTGAACATGCATCAATTGCTTTCATACAACACTCTGCTGTTTAAAACATTATCATTTGCTTATGTCAGTCAAAATTAACTAAACTTGTAAATACTGAATAGTCATTCCATATAAAACTAATAGTCCTCATTTCATTACTTGAGTGATTACATACAAAAAAACATACAAAAATGTTGAACTAGTTGTCAAAATCGGTCAAGCAAATAAAAAAATGTAAATCTTTTTTTTTTCTTGAAAATGTCTTGGTCACACTTTACAATAAGGTTCATTAATTAATGTTAATTAATGTATTTACCAAGATGAACAAACAAGGAACAATACATTTACTACTGTATTTGTTCATGTTAGTTAATGTTAGTTAATGAAAATACAGTAGTTCATTGTTAGTTCATGTTAACTCATGGTGCATTAACTAATGTCAACAAGCATGGACTTGAATGTTAATATTGCATTGGTAAATGTTCAATCATGATTTATAAATGCTGTACATGTGTTATTCATGATTAGTTCATGTTAGTAAATGCATTAACTAATGAAGCTTATTGTAAAGTCAATGTCTTCTAAATTGAACAATTTGATGAATGATTTACAGACCTTTGTGTGTTGTAGGCTTAGCTCCAATATGTCCTGCAATATTGTGTACAGTTGTGCACAGCTCTAGTCTACCCAAAGAAAGTTTATGTTTGTTGTAAATAAGGGTGTATTCATTCTTTTGCACAATGCTGTGAATATATTCGAATTGTCAAAGAGCAAGTGCAGTAAAAATGTGACATACTCAGTGTCTTGTACCCAGATACTTGACTAAATGCAGTAATATCTAACTTCACTGTAGTTTTCAAATGGCTGTGTAAATAGTATCTAGTGCTGTCTTGACCATTTTCAGGAAGTGTCACCAAAATCTGCATGGATTTTTGAATTAGAAAAAATGTACAGAGTAAAATACTGTGAAAATTTTTAGGTTTTGCAGACATATACAGTTGCTGGGCAGATGTTATCTGAAACTGGCAAAAAGTTAATTACTTACGTTTTCTTGTGAGATCAGGCAGGAAACTCTGGTTCCTTCTCTTACTTTCTTTAGGTTTTTTTGAGTTTTTGCTTTCCTTCTAAAAAAAATAAAGTCAAATTGACGCACATTAGCAAAAGCACTATATTTATGATGATACATAAAAAAATATTTGATCATTTTAGGATATGGGCTGAAATAGTTTAAACCAATGACTGTAAAAAAATATGGACGACGCAACAGCCCCTTTTCCCATTGAACGCCTTGAGGGCAAAACGCCTGCTTGACGGGCACAAACTGTCGCAAAAGACTGCTGAAATTGGAGCCTTGACATGCGCAGAAGGACTGTCTGATGGAGCCAGAGGAGGAGCCGCGAAAATGAGCGGAGTCGAGCTTCCAACCAAACGCTTTATGTAAAATCAACCACGCCCCCGAACTTCTCAGCATGCGTTTGCTGTCATATCAACACAAATGGAAGTAATAACGTTAACAAATATGAGGGTTTTATATATTCAATCGCGCCAGCTCCGGGCCGCAGAGCATAACCTACTCGCGGCGTCGCGGGCTGATTCCGGCTCGCATGCGGCAGCGCCAGCTCGCTCGGCCGCCGCATCTGGCTTGATTGACTCGGGCTGGAATCGGGCTGTGAGTCCAGGCATCCGGAGTAGGTCCAGCAGAGGTAGTCAGTCTGAGCTCTGAGGGGTAAGTCTCTGGCAGGCGAGAATCTAGCCGGAACTGGCCCGAGTGTATTTTGCTATCTGGGTGGTTAGGCGTGTATCAGCAAACTAATAAAGCCTGAAAAAAGCCCTGATCTTAGCGAATAAACAGTGTTCCATCAGGATCATATATGTCAGAAACTATAGTTTACTGCTGAACTCATTTTGTCATGGTAAAATAACACAGAAATCGAATAATAACACTTCAGTCTCCTGCCGAAGCTCAGACGCGCTGCTTTGAGAAACTGTCAATCACAGCTGTCAATCACGATGACACGCCCAGCATTAATTACTGCTAAAAACAAACTGTTTACAAAAATGAAGATCTGCACCTATTTCAGCACAATAACCAGTGCCTTAATCCACCAGAACCATCTTTCGGGACATTTTATTGCAAGTGTAATAAAATTTTTTATTTGGGCTCAAGTCTCCTTCATTAACACGGAGGAGGCGGGCTTTATGACTTGTACTGCAGCCAGCCCCCAGGGGGCGATCTAACGGCCGAGACCTTCACTCAAACGCAGGCTTGCGGCACACTTGGTTTAAACATTTTAAATAATTTCTTAAATGCTTTATCTGATCTTAAACAGTTTGGTAGTTTCTCTGTAGAGTATAAAATCAGTCAAATTAGTTTTAAAGTCATTACTATTTGTTTTCACCTTCACCACCAACAGCAAAACTCTTCTGGCAACTATGACACATTCACACATGGTTTCAAAGTTGATTTTAAGACTGTGTCTTCATCTGGAGTGTTTTAACAGATCCTTATACTTCATGAATTCTGAAATGTCTTCTTTTATTTTATTTAGACTGACTGAAAGACTTTTTATGAGTGCAAGTATAACTAAAAACTTCCTACCTGCTCATGAGAATCACAGCTGCAATGATGATGATTACAAGCGAGACTGAAGACACTACAATGATCAGAAGAGTTGTGAACTCAGAAACATCTGTTGAAGACAACAAAAAATATGTGCATGTAATATAGCTGCCATTGAGCAAAAATGAATCAGATATATGAAAAGGTTAATATATAAAAGTTCTACATACTTTTTCCAGGTAAACTGTTTGTAAATTTCTTCAAAGAACAAGAGTAATTTTCAGAGTCTTCAGCAGTGATGTTGTTTAAGATGAGGATTGGGTTTGTCTGTTTCATCAGTTCACCGTTCCTAAACCACTGAACCTCTGATAAACCACCAGGACAGTCCAGTGAACAAGTCAAATTCACAGAGTCTCCAGTTATTGTGCCATTTACTATAGAGCTGGACTTGGAGACTTTTAAATCTGTCATAAAGGAATTAAAAACAACCCATGATGAAACAGAGAGATTACTGGACTAAAAACAAACAAAACATTTACAACAAAAGTTTTAAGAATATTTATTTTTGGAATATTTACCATGTACTGTAATGTTCACTCCAGGATCACCTGTCCACATGCCGCTTGAAGTATTAGTAATAAATCTGAACTTATATTCTCCAGAATCTGTGAGTTTAATGTCATTAATCAAAAGAGAACAATCTGAAGTTTTATCTCCAATGTATTGAAAATTTGAATTATTCTTGGCTTCACTGTCATAGACATATCGCCCAGACTCACACTTGTCAAAGTTTGATTTCATTGAACACCACAGCACTTTCTTTACATAGATATTTTCTTGTGGAAATTTAAAATTACAGGCAACAGTGACATTGGATCCTCTTGCAGCACAGATCGGAGGAGGATAATTCACATGCCAGTCACGAACATCTGCAGGACCTGCAACTTTATTTCAATAATGATTTAATTAATAATAATAGTGTGTGTTACTATATGTATATTCAAGGAAGTTAAAGTTAAAATATCTCAAGATGAATATTTTAAGGGGCTTCGGGATTACCTAAAAAGTTTTTCTATTAATAATTCATTAATGTCAAAAACAAAAAGCCTTAATCAACATTTATGTGCTAAAATCAAGATGTTTACTGATATCTAGTAAAAAATTCAATATCCTTATTTGCTTTGTGAAATGTAAATTAATTTACTAATAGCACATTTCTGATTACTTCCAGGATTAAAAAATAATTGAAGATGTATTATATGGTCTCAGACATTTGTATTCAGACCCATTTGAGTAACATTTTGCAATATTGTTCCGTTCGTTAATGATAGTTTACTAAGACCAAACATTGTACAATACATATACTACAATATTTATTCATCTTTGTAAATATTAGTAAAGGAAATTACAGCCTTTCGTTGTTAGTTCTTGAGAACGTAGCACCACAAACTGCTAACAAGCTAAATTTTGGATTTTATTAATGCATTAGAAAATGTTGAACTAAGATTAATAAATGCAGAACAAGTGTTGATCATTCATAGTTCATGTTAGCAAATACATGAACTAACAGTAATAATGGAGCATTATTGAGAAATGTTACCATTAATTCTTTTATTGCTTAATGAGTGATTGTGGATTTTTTAAATGTCACATTAAATAATTCAAAGATAAATGGTTTTAAAAGATTATGCTAGTTCAAAACAGTACATTAGTTCATTAAATGAGGAATAAGCAACACATAAATACTGCTTTAGAGAAATATTTCTTACCGGGCAGGAGGAAAAGAAGAAACTGTAGCATTTTAATACAATGGTGTTTTTATGTCACTGCAGAGTCTTGGACAAAAGGCAAGAAGATAAAAAGCAGTAAAAGAAGAAGTGGCTGAGAGACAAATGCTAACATTTATATTTCCTCTTCACCCCTAAACTCTTAACTGGCATCTGTGGTTCTGTCAGGAGAACAAACTCAGAATCTACGTTTTACAACATATTCGTACTTCTGAAAAAGTTTAATTTGATTTTTAAAACGTTCTCAATGAAAACAAAAAGTTACTTTAAAAATGTTCACTAAATAGAGTTTGGGGAACTCAAATGTACTATGATGTTGTTGCTAAATCATTCATTCATTTTAAACATTTTTTTTAATTTTCTTTTTTTAAGCACTAACACGTGCTGCTCATTTATGACCAAGAATTTTCAAAGTGGTCTTGAACTTTTATATTTATTTCTTTTATGGGTTCAGTTAATTAAAGGTGCAGTAGGTGATTGTCTTCAGAAACATTTTTTGTTGTGCTGGTTGAAAGGCTCTCCACATTCCAATAGTTATGATGAAAGTAAAAGATCTAAATTTATAGGCCTATTTTTAAATCCTGGGTAATGTATAAAACAAAAAAATGTTCATTGTTGGGCCGTTAATCTCCATAATTCAGATAAGTATAGCCCAAACTGTCAGCAAATGTAGATTTGTGGTCTGTGTGAATCAGGGTATCTTCCGTAATCAGGTTATCAATCAGGGTATCTTCCGTCCAATCCATATCCGTTTTCAAACAAAAAAAGAAAAATGAATAAAACAGCCGTTTTTACGTTTTTTATTTGTTCACAAGAAACGAAAAAACAAGATTTTGGCTGTATTTTCATTTTTTAATTTAGGGTAGGAAAATGGTAAAACGACTTAAAAATTCATTTTACACATGTAGGCGGTGCTGAAACACCCACTTTCCTCTCATTGGTCAACCAAATCTGGGCTCGTGACATAGCCCTTAAAATAAGGCCGTACTCACACTAGGTACAGTTGCCTCGAACCGGGCCAAAGCACGCTTGTCCCCCCTCCCGTCTCCCCCGACGGCCCGCGCTCACACCATATCGGGCCTCGGCACGCTTACGTCATCGCTGCTGCGCTGTTCAGAAGCGCTCTCTATGGCAAGCCTTTTTAGCATTTAAATCTTTGTTCTGACTCCATAAATATATTTAGAGATATCTCTAATTATATTTTGACTAGTCATAATTATAATTCGACTAGTCAGAATAACAATTAGAGATATCTGCAATTGCAATTGTACTAGTACGAAATCAGATTGGAGATATCTGCAAATATAGCTATTATGATTAGTCATATTCCTCCATTGACTTCCATTGAAAAATATTTGCAAATATCTCTAAATGAGTTTTGACTAGTCACAATTGTAATTAGAGATATCTCTAACTGAGTTTTTACTAGTCAAACATTTGGAGATGTCTTTAATTCGTAATATTTAGAGATATTTACAAATATATGTGTAAGATATCTCTAATTAATTTACTATTAGTCGAATTACAGTTGTAGACATCTTGAATTGGATTTTTGACTAGTCATAACTCAGTTAGAGACTGTATTGACTAGTCAACTAGTCATATTTTTCAATGGAAGTCAATGGAGGAATATGACTAGTCATAATATATTTGCAGATATCTCCAATCTGATTTTGTACTAGTACAATTGTAATTGCAGATATCTCTAATTGTCATTCTGACAAGTCGAATTATAATTATGACTTGTCAAAATACATAATTATATCTCTAAATATATTTATGGATAGTCAGAACAAGGTTTAAATGTTAAAACGGCTTGCCATACGCTCTCACTCAGCAGCACAGTGGAGAGTTCTCTAGTTATATCCTTTCAGTCGTTTGTTATGCAGTGACATGCAGTCAAATATTTCGCCAAACAGTCCTTAGGGATGCGGTGACACCAGTCAGATATTTTAACGGGCAGATCCGTCACTTTTGGCGCTCATAAACAATTAAAGCTCTCGTGCTGCAGGAATGAGGAGGTTTGCTGAAGGCGCGCAGCTGTCATGCTGTGAGGAGTTTGCGTCTTTAATAAACTACGGCAGTTTGCGATCACTGAACAGTAAGAATGATTAATAAATCCATATCAAACAGTCCCTTAAAAGTCACGTCTCGCTTTCAGTTTCGGGCTTTGGCGCGTTTCGCGCTCACACACAAGCGTACCGCGCCAAAGCCCAAGTGATCCGCGCTCAGGCACACCTCTTCCAACCGGGCCAGGGCCGGCCAAGTGAACCGTGCTTGAGCCCGATTCAGCGCACTCACACTTCTCAAACGATCCGGGAAACGGGCCTGGGCACGGTACGGATGGCATAGTGTGAGTAGGCCCTAAGAGCCCTCTGTGGACAAGCACCCAGGCTTTTAACTATTATTATTATAATAGACACACATAACATCATCGATGTCCACATCCTATATCCATGAAACTCGAACTAGCATACTCTTTGAACAAGGAGGAAATAACTGTACTTCAGTCAAGCCAGATGGCTTGTTTTGTCATTTAATACCGGCTATATACCTGAAGGACGGTTACGCCGTGTTCTGATGTCAGCCGTCACTGAAGAAAGTCAAATCTTTCTTTACTTTTTTGAACTTTTGTTTGAAAGCTTTAGTGGCACTGTAGCTGTCCAATGTAAATGTTAAAGCCAATATATGCACCAATAAACAAGTCAAATTAATGAATAAATTAAATAAATATGGATTCTGTCTGTATTGTTTTTACTCAAAAAAAATGTTTTATAGAAATAAATGAGCATTTTTCACCTGATTTCAAATAAGTTTTTTACAATTCATTTAAATATAAGTTGGACATTTATGGGGCCATGTAACATGTTTCTGTGCCTTTTTTTTTCTCCTTCGTGATCTTTAATGTACTGGGTATACGCAAAATATTTCTGAAATGTCAAGCAAGAATTTGGCTATAGGTTTAATTATGAAGACAATAAAATATAATAAATGACAAAAATAAAATGATAAAAATTCTAAAAAATATTCCTTTTTATTTCATTTGATGCATTCGTTATTTAATGTTTGATTACTGAAATAACAGCCATCGGAAGGGGGAGGGGCAGTGCTGAATTTGTGCGTACTTTGGAATAAAATCCTGCTGGCGCCCCTGGTGTGAATAAATGTGTAAAAATACGTACATCTTAACTGTCATTTTATAGTAATCAAGAGATTTTTGTTGTTTTTTTTTTGTATCTTAACACATTTAACTCCATTTTGTCCATGATGAAACTTGCAGGCATATAGATATGTCCCTCACACCTTATTTCTGTCGTCTATTACTAAGGTAAGCAGGCTGTATGTATGCGAGCGATACACTTATTTAAATCATCATGTCTTATGATAACACTAGGTGGGCACATTTATAAATACAGTTTTAAAACTTTTACAATTTTACTTTTAACTTTTAATCAGAAAAAAAATATTTTTCACGTAAAAACCAAAAGGCACGTAGGTCTATACAGATGTGTTTTTGCATATTTATTTGTTTATAATATATAGTGTGGATTATAACATAATAACCAGAGAGATTAACTCTTTGTCATGGCGCATATTTCTAAATATAAGCTTAAAAAAGTTGTCTGTGGTGCTGCTGTTACAGGCAAGCGCTCTGTTTATAGCCTAAAGTTAGCTTTTCAATTCTAAGATCTAAAAGTGATAAGAGTTGTATTTTCAAGTGAGGATTATCTAGCTGGTCAAAACGTCTAAGTGTAATGAACAGTGGTTGAACACAGAGCTTTTAATTTGCAATGTTCGAAAAGCCTATGAGAAAATCCTATAGGGATATTGTCGAGGGAACCAGTTTTATGCAAGCAGCCGATTAAGGTGACGTCATAGTTCCTCCACTCTATTAGTTGAATCAACTATTTTTTATGTTAAATCAGTGAATTACCACCATGCTTTTATTTTATTCAACCTAAATTAAAAATATTTTGTTATCTCAACTATTTTAGTAGATCTAAGTTGACTTGACAAAATAAAATACGTCGTGATAACAAATCATGAAAATAATTTATTACAGTGCATTACCGTTATGCACTATAATGAAAGTAAAAAAATGACTGAAGTATTTTTTTTACTTCATTAATTATTACTGAAGTAAAAAATATTACTTTAATTGTTTTTAGTATGAATTGTCTTAAAAATGCATAAAACATTGTTAACAATTATATATATTGACACACAGTTCACTAATCTGTTAATTTAAAACTCATATCTGATGAACACCAATGTTTAAATGACATCACAACATTCTGTAAAAGATTATTGCAATGGTTAAAATGCCTGTCTGTCTTTATCTTGACATAAAAAACAGGAAACATGTTCTGCATCAATAGATTTATTGTCTGAATAAACAATTACAGTTACTGCTGGTATAATATTGGCTCATATATTGGGTTTAATGTTGACATCTGTATCTTTATATGTCATCCTTTTTCACTCCTTCAGTGTATCCTGTAGGCTTGAGTAAACTGGTGATGCTTGAGTTTCAGCCTGAGAGCAAACAGAACACAGAGAAGACCAGTAAACATTACTGAATTTGCTATAAAAACATCTGATTTTGGGTCTGGATGCAGACCTGGTGCAGTGCAATCTGAGCTGCATTCAATGCTTTTTAATAGGCTCATCTAACCCCACACTTAACCCTACCCGTCACAGTGACGTCAATCAATTCATTGAGTACATTGTGTCTGGCGTTGCATTGCTGAGTGATGCAATCTCAGCTTGCATCATAAAGGCTGCATCCAGATACTATTGAATTTTACTGCCGTATTTACACTGCTGATAAGACTAGATTATTAGCACTAACCAGCATGCTTTTTTACTGAAGAAGCTCATTGACCAGTAAAGCTTATACTTTTGTTTTGTACATTTCAGGTAAAAAATTATTATTAGTTATTTCTACATAGGTTTTAAATGTATATTTACAGTTATTTGTAAAGAGGCATAATGAGAATCCATGGGTTCTTCTCTTTCTTTTGCTGCTTTCCTTCTAGAATTAAAAAACACACATGAACATTAAATAGCAGAATTCAGACAAAACATCACAAATATATGATGACAAGGAAAGGGACTCCATTCTGAGAAAAACATTATAAAAAGTAGATACAATTTAGTTTCACATCCACTTATTTTCAAAATTACAATGTTCTTCTGATGGTAAATTGACCCATGAACTTTCAAAACTCATTTTTAAGAGAGAGTCTTCATCTGTAGTATTAATCTCCAGAGCTAATATGCACACTCTAAATTGTTGATTGAGAGAGTTAAGATACATTTGTGTGCAGGAAGCAAAAACTCTTTCTACCTTCTTATAAGAATCACAGCTGCAATGATGATGAACAAAAGCGAGACTGAAGACACTACAATAATCAGAAGAGTTGAGGACTCAGAAACATCTGTTGAAGACAACAAAAAATATGTGCATGTATTTTAGCTGCCATTTAGCAAATATGAATCAGATATATAAAAAGGTTAATATATTATAAGTTCTACATACTTTCTCCAGATAAAGTGTTTGTAAATTTCTTCAAAGAACAAGAGTAATTTTCAGAGTCTTCAGCAGTGATGTTGTTTAAGATGAGGATTGGGTTTGTCTGTTTCATCAGTTCACCATTCTTAAACCACTGAACCTCTGATAAACCACCAGGACAGTCCAGTGAACAAGTCAAATTCACAGAGTCTCCAGTCATTGTGCCATTTATTATAGAGCTGGACTTGGAGACTTTTAAATCTGTCATAAAGGAATTAAAAACAACCCATGATGAAACAGAGAGATTACTGGACTAAAAACAAACAAAACATTTACAACAAAAGTTTTATGAATATTTATTTTTGGAATATTTACCATGTACTGTAATGTTCACTCCAGGATCACCTGTCCACTTGCCGCTTGAAGAATTAGTAATAAATCTGAACTTATATTCTCCAGAATCTGTGAGTTTAATGTCATTAATCAAAAGAGAACAATCTGAAGTTTTATCTCCAATGTATTGAAAATTTGAATTATTCTTGGCTTCACTGTCATAGACATATGGCCCAGACTCACACTTGTTAAAGTTTGAGTTCATTGAACACCACAGCACTTGCTTTGCATGGATATTTGATTGTGGAAATGTAAAATTACAGGCAACAGTGACATTGGATCCTCTTGCAGCACAGATCGGAGGAGGATAATTCACATGCCAGTCACGAACATCTGCAGCACCTGCAACTTTATTTCAATAATGATTTAATTAATAATAATAGTGTGTGTTACTATATATATATTCAAAGAAGTTAAAGTTAAAATATCGCAAGATGAATATTTTATGGGACTTCTGGATTAGATGTTTACTGATACCTAGTAAAAAATTCAATATCCTTATTTGATTTGTGAAATGTAAATTAATTTACTAATAGCACATTTACTAAGACCAAACATTGTACAATACATATACTACAATATTTATTCATCTTTGTAAATATTAGTAAAGGAAATTACAGCCTTTCGTTGTTAGTTCTTGAGAACTTAGCGCCACAAACTGCTAACAAGCTAAATTTTGGATTTTATTAATGTATTAGAAAATGTTGAACTAAGATTAATAAATGCAGAACAAGTGTTGATCATTCATAGTTCATGTTAGCAAATACATGAGCTAACATTAATAATGGAGCATTATTGGAACAATTTACCATTATTTCTTCTATTGCTTAATGAGTGATTGTGGATTTTTTAAATATGTCACATTAAATAATTGATAAATAAGTGGTTTTAAAAGATTATGTTAGTTCAAAACAGTAAATTAGTTCATTAAATGGGGAATAAGCAACAGATAAATACTGCTTTAGAGAAATATTTCTTACCAGGCAGGAGGAAAAGAAGAAACTGTAGCATTTTGATCCAATGGTTTAGTTATTTAACTCACAGAAGATGTTTTTATGTCACTGCAGAGTCTTGGACAAAAGGGAAAAAGAGAAAAGCAGTAAAAGAAGAAGTGGCTAAGAGACAAACGCGAACATTTCTCCTTCTCCATTTCAGAATCTACGTTTCACAGCATATTCATACTTCTGAAAAAGTTTAATTTTCATTTGATTTTTAAAATGTTTTAAAAAAAAAAAAAAAAAGATCTTTTAAAAAATGTTCGCTGAACAAATATGTGGGGAAGTAAAACTAGTTCTACTATGATGTTGTTGCTAATTCATTCATTCATTTTAAATATTTTTTAAATTTTATTTATACCATCAATTTTCTTTTTTAAGCACTAACACGTGCTGTTCATTTATGTTCATTTATGATATATTTTTTATCTGCACTATTAAGATAAAAAAAGACTAGTGAGAAATTAATTTATGAAAATTCTAAATGTAAAAAATAAACCTTGTATTTTCCATCTACAAATGTAAACCTATTCTAAATATGAAATATAAGAAACCCTTTTTTTTTTTTTTTTTTTGCAATGATGAAAACAAGTGAGACTCAAGACCCTACAATAATTGGAAGAGTTGTGGACTCCAAAAAATCTGAATCATCTGTTAAAGACAACAAAAGTATGTGCATGTAATATACAGTAGCTGCCATTTAGCAAATATGAATTTGATGTAGATATAGAAAGGTTCATTTGTTTATTAGTTCTACCAACCTTTGATATACATGCTAATTTGTTCAGATAACAGTTTTGTAAATTTCCTCAAAGAACAAGAGTATTTTCCAGAGTCTTTAGCTGTGACATTGTTGAAGAGGAGGATTGGGTTTGTCTGTTTCATCAGTTCACCGTTCTTAAACCACTGAACCTCTGATAAATTATCAGGACAGTCCAGTGAACAGTCAAATTCACAGAGTCTCCAGTTTTTGTGCTTTTATTTATTTTTTTGACCTGGACATGAAGACTTTTAAATCTGTCAGAAATAGAATTTAAAACACTCCACAATCAAACAGAGAGATTACTGGACTGAACACAAACTAAACATTGACAACAAAAGTTTTATGCACTGCAAAAAATGCTTTTCTTACTTAGATTTGTCTTGTTTCTAGTCCAAATATCTACAAATTCTTAAATCAAGAAGCATTTTCTTGACAAGCAAGACATATCGTCTTGTTTTAAGAAATAAAAGGCCAAAATGAAGTGAGTTTTTCCTCAAATCAAGCAAAATAATTTGCCAATGGTAAGCAAAATAATCTTATCACAAATCGAAAAACAAGATTATTTTGCTTAAAAGATTATTTTACTTATTCCTGTAGACTTGGAAATGCAAGGTGAGACTGCAGTGAAACTAATGACATCACTGTGAGGAGTAGGGTTAGGGTGTTAGGGAGTTAGGTGTGTGTGTGTACAGTAGCAGAGGCCAGCTGTGAAGTGCTGTGCAGGTAAACCTCACACCTCTGACCTCTTTAGCCTCCTTGTTAGAGCAACCGGAAGGTTGCTGGTTCGATTTCAGCTTGGAAAGAGTTGTGTGGTGTAGGACTGACGGGGTTACATTGGTGCCGTGAATCGGATTGGAGTGAGGTTCTGGGTGTGAGTGTAGCAGAGGCCGGCTAGTGAAGTGCTGTGCAGGTAAACCTCACTCCTCACTTCATTTATGCCCAAGAATTTTCAAAGTGGTCTTGAACTTTTGGATTAACACTATTTATATTAGACGTTTAATTAATTTATCAATTAATCAAGCTGATTTGTATTTAAATATACTGATATGTTTTTATTAAAAACTTATTTTTGTGGCAGTAGTGCTGTGGATCCACAAAAAATAAAAAGACTATTGAGAATTTAATTAAAGATTGAAATTTTTACTAAATGTAAAAATATAAAACTTTTATTTTCCATCTACAAATGTAAGCATGTTCTAAATATGCAATATGTTATACCTCCTTTTCAACAGAAGTACTGTAAATATGTTCTGTATATTCTGACATTTAATTACAGTTTAATTGTGGAGGCTTAAGGCCTGCAAAAATGCTACATTTTCTCATGTTTGTATAATAAACAACACTTTCCTTTTCCACAAAATTACGTTTATTAACAATTAATTAAAAAATAGGTTATTAACATTTACAAAGCTTCCATCAACATTATGCACTACAATATACAAACATACATATCCTACGGAAGTACAAAAATACTAGCTTTGTTTTTTTCTTTTTCAATAAATTGCCATTAAAACTGCATAAAACATTAACTATTAGCAATTATATCACATAAAGGTCTTTCACAAGCTATTGACATGCAGTTTAACATCTGTTACATTAAAATCCACATCTGATGAACAACATTATTTAAATTAAATAAAGGAAACATGTTCTGTGTCTGACATCACTTTCAAACTCACATTTGCAATTGATAAAACTGACATATGATGAAATGTTCCTCATCATCTTCAAAACTACAGCTCAGACTGAAAATAACAAATGCAGTCACTGACAAAAATTGACCGCAGCAATCAATTGCTCGCTTCTTGTGTTTAATATTGACATCTGTATCTATATTAAGCTGCACTTCATCCTTTTGTCACTCCTTCAGTATATCTTGTATGCTTGAGTAGACTGCTGATGCTTGAGTTTCAGCCTGACAGTAAACAGAAGACAGAAAAGACCAGTAAACATCACTGAATCTACTATAAAACATCTGATGTTAGTTAACTTTACACTGCTGACAAGACTAAACTATTGCAACATAACCAGCATGCTTTTATCTGAAGAAGCTTGTTGACCAATAAAGCTAGCTACTTACATTTTGTACATTTCAGGTAAAAAACTATAAAAAATTATATATATATATATATATATATATATATATATATATATATATATATATATATATATATATATATATATATATATAATTGATTTCTACATAGGTTTTAAATGTATATTTACAGTTATTTGTAGCGAGGCATAAAGAGAATCCATGGGTTCTTCTCTTTCTTTTGCTGCTTTCCTTCTAGAATTAAAAGACACACATAAACTTTAAATAGCAGAGTTCAGACAAAACATCACTAATATATGATGACAAGGAGGGGGACTCCATTTTGAGAAAAACATTATAAAAAGATACAATTTAGTTTTTCATCCTCTTATCTTCAAAATTAAATGTATGCAGCTCTAAATTATTAATTGAGAGAGTTGAGATACTTTAGTGTGCAGGTAGCAAAAACTCTTCCGACCTTCTTATAAGAATCACAGCTGCAATGATGATGAACACAGGCGATACTGAAGACACTACAATAATCAGAAGAGACTCATCTGTTGAAGACAACAAAACGTGTGTGCATGTAATACAGCTGCCATTTAGCGAATCTGATATAAAAATGAAAAGGTTAATATATTCTAAGTTCTACATACTTTCTCCAGATAAAGTGTTTGTAAATTTCCTCAAAGAACAAGAGTAATTTCCAGAGTCTTCAGCAGTGATGTTGTTTAAGACAAGGATTGGGTTTGTCTGTTTGATCAGTTTACCGTTTTTAAACCACTGAACCTCTGATAAACCACCAGGACAGTCCAGTGAACAAGTCAAATTGACAGAGTCTCCAGTTATTGTTCCTTCATTTATTCTTGACCTGGATTGGGAGACTTTTAAATCTGTCCAAAAACACCCATAAAAATTGAGAGATTGTTGTATAAAAACAAACAAAAATATTTACAACAAAAGCAGTTTTTAGTTTTTTTAAACCCATTTTAAGGTTAATATTATTAGCTCCTCTTAAGCAATTTTTTTTTCAATAGGCTGCAGAACAAACTAATACCCTAACTAACCTTATTGACATAATTAACCTAGTTAAGCCTTTAAATGGCACTTTAAGCTAAATAAATACTAGTGTTTTGAAAAATATCTAGTAAAATATTATGTACTTTCATCATATCAAAGATAAAATAAATCAGTTGATAGAAATGAGTTATTAAAACTATTATGTTTAGAAATGTGTTGTAAAATCTTCTATCCGTTAAACAGAAGTTGGAGACAAATAAACACGGGGGGGGGGGGGGGGGGGGGATAATTCTAACTTCAACTGTACATTTAATTCATACAATAATTTAATTAGTTGATTATTTATTTCATTATTTACCATGTACTGTAATGGTCACTCCAGGATCACCTGTCCACATGCCGCCTGAAGAATTAGTAATAAATCTGAACCTAAATTCTCCAGAATCCTTTATATCATTAATTAAAAGAGAACAATTTGAAGTTTTATCTCCAATGTATTGAAAGTTGATTGAATTATTGTTGGCTTCACTGTCATAGACATATGGACCAGACCAACACCTGCCAGTGTTTGAGTTCATTGAGCACCACTGCACTTGCTTTACATGGATGTTTACTTGTGGAAATGTAAATGTACAGGCAACAGCGACATTGGATCCTCTTGCAGCACAGATCGGAGGAGGATAATTCACATCCCAGTCAGCACTGAGAACACCTGCAGCACAAAACACTTATTTCATGCATAATAATGCATTTAACTATAAGCAAAATTAAAAGAAATAGTTAAAATATCTCAAGATGAATATTTTAAGGGGCTTCAGGATTACCTAACAGTTTTTTTATATTAAGAAATGATTAATGTATGAACATAATCTAGCCCTAATAAACATTTAAATACCTAAATAAAGATGTTTACTGATACCAAGTAAAACATTTAATGTCCTCATATCTGACTTGTGAAATGTAAACAGCACCGAAGCATAAATAACTTTTGTATTTATTTATGGCACCCATTTTCTTTTTTTTTTTTTTAGTTTCTAAACCTTTCTGATTACTTACAGGATTAAAGTAAAATTCAAGATGTATTAAATAGTCTCAGACATTTGCATTCAAACCCATTTTAGTCAGATTTTACAATAATGTTTCCTCAGATAATGTTAGCTATTAAGAACAAACAATACATTAATTACAATGCCTATTTCTCTTCGTCAACATTTAAAGAGTATTAATAATATTAATGAGTCATTGTGGATTTGTT